AACCTGGAATAGGAGCTTTGCACTTTTTCAAGCATTCACCACCACAGAACAAGTATGAGTCATTTCTGAGTAGAAGGAGCTGGAGAGACAGATCCCTTTGAGTAGAGGCACAGTTGGCAATAACTGAAGAGATTAAGGAGGATAGAAGATAACAGCTTCAGGCTGGAAGGAGTTGGAGGAAAGCCTTCCTCCAATCAGCTACCCAAGCTCTACTGAGATGCTCACTGAGAGAATCAAGGACAAGTGACCAGTGTGTGAGCACCTACCTGATCCTGCTGCCCAAGCCCTTCTCAAAATCCCATCCAGGCTCCTCATGGTGATCTTCCCACTCTCGAAGCACCTCATAAAACACATCCCTGATAGACATAAGAATGCCTGATCAACTGAGGCACAGCTAATCTAATTCCCAGTTGATCTAACTCAATCCCAGGAGTGCCTTCCCTTGCTCAGAAGTGAGGACAGGACGATTCACAGTCCAGTCTCCAAAGTTCTCTACAGGGTGATGATACAACCCAGGAGCAGCAGCACATCGCATGTTTCACATACTTCAGTGGTTAGTGAAAGCTGATCAGGCTCTCTCTTATCTGAGAACTCTGTGACTAAAGTCATGTACTTGTGAGGCTATTAAAATCAGAGGTTCAAGTCCATGGGCACTAAACAGAATAGAGCTAAGCAGCTCTTACGATGGTTGGCAGGAAGGGCCTGGTGGTGCTAAACCATCACTTGTTAGTGCCAAACTTCTAGTTTCTATGAACATGACATAGGTTGCCTATCTCAAAGTAAATGCAGACTCATCCCCTCTCCCCAAATTCCCTTTTCTTATCACCTCTGTTTTTTAAAAGTATGAAAGGCTCGGTCACTGGAGAAGTTGGCACGATTGTCAGTTTCTGGCTGAAAGGAGACAGCTTGAACAGAGGGTGGCATCGCCAGAGAAACCTAAAATATGGCAGTGACATTAGGGACAGAAGCCTGAAGAGTTCATGCTCAGAAAATTTCATCTCCGTATTCCTGCCCAGAGTTGGCCCATAGGACACTAGTATGGCTTAGAAGGGGCAGGTCTGGGCTAGGAGACATCTAAGATGGGATCACTACCTTGGCAGCACTGCCCTCGTAGGCAGCTCGGAGGCGGCCTTGCAGAGCGGGTGAGAAGCACAGTAGCCGCTCATTCTCAGCCAACAGCTTCAAGGTCCCTTTGTCCAGGTACGAAAGAACTCTACAGGGTCAAGAGCACATGACTGAGAATGGGACACACATTGCAAAAAGGAAGCTGGCACCTGCATAACCACTCAGAACATCATCTGGAGCATGGAACAGGTGTGTAAGGCAAAGCCACAGACCAAGGATTAAAAATGATGGAGGCAAAGGGGGAGGAAATGAGACCTTATGGGGCAGGGAGCAAGAGAGCAAGACAGGACATTAGACATTAACCCAAAGGTCAGCCACCAAGACCACAGGGGGCGCTTTGATTCTTTTAGGGGCTGAATTCATAGTCTTAGCACACAATTAAAGATTACGTGTTGGAAAAGGCCCTGAGTCACTGCATTTGTGTTAAGCACAAGCATGTACTCCAAGTGGCCAGAGAACCAAGTAGACAAGGGGAATAAGACTTAAATGCCTCTGCTGGGGAAACTCACTGAAACTGATGCTCCAAAACCTGCACTGCAAAGAAGACACAATCGTGGACACTCTGGAACAGTGGGCTTTCCAGGGAATCTAGAATAGTACCAGGCTGCCAGTTAAGAATTATTCCATCTCTAGACCCCATTTCTCAAAAAGAGGCTTGCTCACTGACCTAGGGCTCCTGGACTTGGTTCAAGGTTACTGTTCTTGGTGGCCACCATCCTCCGAGCTGTAAGGAGCTGAAGGACGAAGAAAAGCTCCAAGAAGAGGTTTGGCACCAGATTTTCTGGATATAAAAAGGAAACCCCAGTGTTATTAGGCACCATTCAGAACCAAGGCTCAGTTCTACATGCCTTATCAATTATCTTACCCTGTAGTTCTACAAGTTATCTCCACTGCAGCACCCTTTGTTCTCACTTGCCTGCAATGCATGAAGAGTAGACAAGGGCTACCAGCTCCAGGCGCTGGCGGGAAGACACTTTGGCAGGATCAGCAGGTTCAGCTGTGAGGCTTCCTGTCCGGCTGGGGAGGGGAGATCCTGATTCTGAGGTGGAACAGGTGGGGGCAGGTAACTGCTGCAGCTGCTTAGAGCTATGAAGATAGAAGGGTGATGTCATCATCAGTCAACTGGCTTCCCCTCCACAGCCATACTCAGGTTCCTCTAGGGAGGACATCTATGGCCCAAGAAACAGACGGGGGTGGGGATTGGGGGGTGGGAGACACACAAATCAATCTCAGGGAAAAACCCTGAAGATCCCCCTACAGGAAGGAAGCTAACAATCCAGGGAGCAGTAAGGCCGTACCGTTCTTTCTTGAGCATCTCCCGCTCCTCCTGCAGACTTCTGCAACCTGGGGGAAGGCCATGGCCCCAAGGGCTAGAATCCAGGACTGAGGATTGGGAACTGGGGACACAGTTGATTGGGGGTGAGGTGAAGCAGGTCTTGGGCTTGGAGATTGCCCGCTCTTCACTCACTGGAGTTGGGTTGATCCTGCGTGAAGGCTTCGTCCTGCTGAGAGTAGCCACAGGTTTTCCCCAAATTCCCATCTTCAAGCATCCACAATAGCTGGGGCCCTTGTAACACGCCCCTCATCATTGTAGTTATTTCATCCCCAACCATCTAGCTATTTCCACGCTCTACTACGGAGCGCCCAACCTTAATTTACTTCCCTAGCACAGCTTTTGTACCACCCGTTTCCTGGATGAGGGCTGATTCTCACCCTGCAGGGCCGGGGGGAACCGAGCCTACGGGAGGGAACTCCTCCAGGTTGCTGAGGTTCGGCGGATCAGAGTGCGTGAGGCTGGGGCTGCCGGGGCTGCTAGAGGCCCTAGGCCTCCGGCCACCCGCCCAGGGCAGGCTCTCCCCACTGACCCCCTCCTCCAGGCTCCCCGGGCCGCGGCCACCTCGCTC